TTCTTTTCCTTGCTTGATTTGGTCCTTCTATTTCCGTCGACGAATTAAGATGCTCATGCACCATCACTGCATACAAAGTTGGTTTGTACTAGCAAAGTTGTACTTTGTAGCTTTACGGTAGCTGACGGCTTATTGAGTAGCTGCAATCGTGATTGCCACTGCGACTCGGTGTTCAATCCAGTGTGTGACAAGAATTCCGGAAACATTTACTTTTCGCCCTGCTATGCCGGGTGTCTGTCAGGCGTTGACGAGCAAATCTCCATGAAGAATGCTTCAGCTGCAACGGTAATGGTTCAAATGATGTTTTTGTATCTACCGTATTATAAAGTTATTCATTTTCAGCTTTCTTTGCTTTAAATGCATTTAGTGGGAAGTTTCATAAGCACGGTTTAATAGTTTGGGAGTTATAGTATACGAGTACATGGTTTTATAAGTACAAAAGCATCTTGGTGTTGTTGGTCTTCTTGTAGATGAAATATCAAGAAATGCACCGAACGAAATTTTTTGGATTCAGTTATTGGTTTCATGATTTAATGAATTTGATAGTTACAGTAAAGCTACATTAGCAGCGGAAATTTTAGCCGACATTAGGAAACAATATGTCTGGCATTAGACTGATAGCTTGATTAGTATTAGCGTTGTCCATGATGGAACTTATATTGGGCAGAGGCAATAATACATATCAACAATATATCACCGTCAATTCAGCATGACCTAGAATTAAGTATTTTGCCGCTTGAACGTCTCACGCGCACAAGATGTAGTATCGTAGCCTGATCATCATTACCATTTTTCGATTTCCTGTATGGTGAAGGTCTATCAAAAATTTTTACAAACGCTTCTGTCGTTTGAGATTCTCATCCACATCAAACGAATTCTTTCAGCTCATCCTGCCGCCGATCTGAAAGTCTTCCCACCCACCGTCGCCGTACCTCTGAACCCGGACTGCTATCTCTTTGGTACAGAGGTAGGCAGTTCTTCTTGCAACGTGTCATGGCGATTGCCACTTCAACGCCTTCTGTAGTGCAATGGCATCTCCAACATGGTCTTGTACTTTCACCCATTCGTTAGTCTTTCTCTTTCATCATCTTATTATTGGCATACATCGTATCATGCAACGTTTCACTCACTCTCTGTAGTCCGTGATCAGCTTTCAAGATTACGGTGCATGTTTCCCATGTATGCATTAACTGCGGGAGCACGAGTGATTGCAAGTGCCATTTTAAAGTAAAATTGAATATTTTTTGATAAGCACATTTTCAATCTTCCAGAGGTTCTCATTCCAAGTGACATTTTCGGTTTTCTATCGATTCGTGGCTGGTACTCTGCTTCAAAAATCACCTCTCCCAGTAAAACTCCATTTTGAACGCTAACCTAAATCTATATCTTGGTGCATAAAACAACAAAAGGGATTTTATGAGCTTGTTCTGCATCACTGTTTTTAATTATGGCCACTGAATACTTTCTATAAACGAAAAAAATCTCAGCGCATAGACACGATAAGAAGATGAATCTAGTTATTGAGAGCAGCACAGCGTGCCACCGATGTTTCATTCGTTTTACAACAACGTGAGCAATTTCCCGATTTGCGGACACGTGAAATATTTCAAGCCTATTCATAATTGTTTCAAACAAAGAGGAAATATTATTCATCTTCGTATTATTCAGCGTTGCAGTCCTCATCGAATCATCATCAGCAACAGCAGCAGCATTACCGTTGTTTAATACCTCGTTCAATTTTGATCATGAAAAAAACGGTGCCAGATCCATTGTCAACGTTGACATCGACATAAACATTATCGAACGCTTTGAATGCCAACAATTTCTGAACTAGAAGACTTCATATGAATGACTGTAGTAGAACTTACACGGCCAATGTGTCAAATATCTTTCGTAATATTGACAGATTTATCAAGTTTGTTTACTTGGATTCATGTCAGTAATATTTTGTATTATTACTCTGGAAAAATGCTTTTTTAATAATGTTCTACATTATACGAACATTATCTTATCTGCAACCCAGAATATTATCTAATTAATTATTGATATTCGATTACTACAATAATTTTCAGATTCGGCTGTGGAACCAATGCCAGTGCGTGCCGCCTGCCACTTCAGAGACATACATGAATCAGACCGTCGTTGAAGGTCTTTGCTCAAAACCTTGCTCTGCTACTTATCTCTTTTTTGCGTTGATCGCTCTTCATACCATTGCAGTATTCATGACCGGAGTTGCATCGCAACAGGCCATACTCAGGTACGTGCTTCGTACAAACTGCTATTTTAGCTACCGACAAAGAATATGTAGAACAAATGAAAAATCGTGCTCGTACTAGAAATAAATGCTTATCACTAGGTACTGTCTTAGAAACTACGGCAGTTTAGCAGAGTTTGTCGACCTCATCTCCATATACAGCATTCCGAGGGAAGTAGAAATTTTCCTTCTACCTTTTGATCGTTTTTGCCCTCTGAATGAAGGTTCGGTTAGTCTTTTTGATGGTACACCCGCAGACTTTGTACTCTTAGTCATATTTGACAGCGTATTCCGATTTGAGTGACCGAAACTGATTTACGGTTAAGTCGAAGTCGGAAATACCGCGATTTTACCGGTTTATGCATAACCTTGTCCGTATAAGTTAACCTCTATACTGCTTCCCGGATGCTAAGTTTACGCGGTAGCTTTGATGCAGGCTGAGGCTTAAGCAATGATGTGATGAAAGCGCCACAAATAACCAGTTTTGGCAGTTAAGCAGATATGTTTCAGTCCATACCGGTCTGGGCGATACCATGCTCAAATTAATACAATAATCGTACGGCGGTTTTCACGCTTTTTTCCAAGAACACTGGTTTACTTTGAAGAATATCACGTGGACGGAAAGAGGGCGGTCCAACGTCGGTCTATTAATCAATGAATCGTTGCGAGTTTTGGCTGACATAAGCCAAGTTTGTAGCGAACGTGTGAACACGCTTAATTTTACGCTTCCCGTTGGAACGTCACTGACAACTCGTTCCCCCATTTTTCTATGAAATTATGGATTCCATCACGCGTATTGCAAACTGTGTCTTTTTATGTGTGCAGCTTTTTGCATTCGGTGTCGATGAGGACGCTTCAGCGCGTTCTTGACTAATAGAAGTTAGCGTCGTCCTAGCAACTTGTCACCTGGACCCATGAATATGGGAAAGAAAGACACTTATAGTTATTGAGGCAGACAGACAGCAAATCGATATCTCCATCCATACGCGTTGAAACACGCTTTGCTGCTTCGCTGGTAATGCCACGAAAGCGTGAAGGCCCACCTTTTGACTCTCCAGCAACAGAGGTGGATGACAATCAACAAACTGTACTTTCCTAAAGACATCATGCATAATATAAACTTGTTTCTGTCATAATATTCTTTCTTGCCTCATATTCCCAAATTGTTGCTTGCCACAATCACGTGCAGTTCAGCAACTCATGCCTTCACTTCCACTGAAATTTCTTCGTTTACAGTAACAGTAGGTCAACTTTGAATTTCAAGGGTATCAGGTTCGAATCCTTTAAAAAATTATGTTAATCATTAAGAAGGGAATTCATTCCACTATGCTTCAGTGCAATCAATTGAGAAACGACGGGATGGACGCCGCTGACTTCTCAATAACTTCGATAGCACAGTGTCTGGTGTGGTATATAAGAGTGGGTTAGACATGTGGCTATAATGTTTGATGTGTGCGCTTATTAGGGTCACAAGATATTTTGACCGACACAATGGCTGTCTGCCTAGTTGGATAATCACTACAAGCTGCAATGCCAAATTTTGATGGATTATTTTAACTACTTTAAACTATTCCCTTCTTGCATAGCCTGTCGAACTTTCTCTCCGTTCCACATCTAGTGCTCTCGCCTCAGTATATAACTCACCTACGAGTGCTGTTTGTTTAATGATGGTCGTTTTTAATGGAGTACCCGCAGCTTAGCTAACTTTGTCAATCATATGAACTGTTATTGCATTGCACCAATAGCAGATATACCGTAACTGAAGAACCGTTCCTGATTGGTTGTATTTTTTCATTGCGCTAATCGGGGCGAATGCTGAAAATTTGCATGAATTACCTCTTAAACTTGCATTCAAGTACGTTGCGTTTTCAGATGCGTGCCGTTCGACCAAAGAACTGTTGCCTTAAGCCTGAACTGGCTTTTCGTAAGACTTTTGGGTAAGACATTTGTATTTCTACGTTAGGAGTTCATTGATTATTTGAGATCCCTTTATGAAAACTGTTGGAAGGCACAGTAAGATCATCAATTCTAAAACGAGTCGTGCATCACTCGAAAAAATCGGCTCGTTTCTTGTGCAGAAGTGCAAAGTCTGTTTCCGTCTTATTGCCCTGCAAACCATAGGCAACAATGATGTCAATATGCTTATCACATCACGTTGTTTAAGGCATATAAAGCTTACAAAAATGGATTGGTAAAAATTCTGTTTTACGGTACACCAAGTAGCAAAATCTGCAGAATTCTTAAACATAATTTCTAAATTTCCGTCAGACGACAATTTAAGGAAAACGTACACTAAGCGTGTATTTATATATGCAAATTAGATCAGACATGGATCCCAAACCGAAGAGTATATCATGAGGTCGAACGTCATAACTTGAGGGGAAACCATAAATTTAATAATTTATTTCTCTGGGCCGGGGACAATAGGATTCTTGAATTTCTTGGCTCGTGGTTTGAAACTAATTCTGTTAACCGAAGCATGAGTGATGATAAAAAAAATATTTCATAACTTTATATTGCACCATTATTTCAGGCTGCATTCCCGGTCCAGTAATCATTGGGCTGTTTATCGATTCAACGTGTCTTTTGTGGGAAACAACGAACTCTAGTCGTTCTTGCTTGCAATTCGACGACAGCAAGATGCGAGGCAGTCTATTCATATTTGGTAAAATTTGAATGTCTAACTCTAAGCTCTTTACCAACCTTTGTAATGCGAATTTTTAAAAGATATTTTTTATCTGAAATGTAAAAAACCAGATTAGTTTTATTGCGCAAAATTTACTTTGTAAAATAATCTGTTAAGTAATCAACTTGCATGTACACTTCTTGGTCAGATTAATGCAGATATAGACCGTGATATATGTTTGTTGAGATCATCACTTGAGCAGCATGAATGTGTTAAACGTCTCCGGTTTGTGATGTCTCTGTGTTCGACGCCTTCAACTGATTAGTTGTAAAGCACTGCGCCGCAGCAGTAGGAATTATTCCTCTCTTAAAGCTCATCTTCCTCTAGATTAATCCTAAACTTGGCATGCTGAATTCCTGGCCGATATCTGTCGAGCTTAAGCTCCCAAACGAGACGCTCCGCCATTTGGGCTGTAGTAAATGCTTAAGGTTAAATCAGCATTTCTAACAGAGTCAATCTTTTGTTCTTAATCGTTACCTATGCTAAAGTCACCTGCGTCCGGAAGACAACAGAGTCGTTGACTGCGTGATCTGATCATTTAACCCTCGTTATGCGGTTTCTGTGCAAAGAATTACTCATATCTCAGCCCAAATATTGGACAGGTTTACAAACGTGTTCGAGGTGATGTCACTCATCCAACTTAACTCTGGCTGGAGAACGCGTCGCTGAAAATGATCCACTCAAATTGGCCAACTTAATGAAGCACTTCATATCATTGTTTCACTGATAGATCGGTTATACCAAAGAGGTTCGTAGTAATAGAGCCAAGTTTCCGTACTACTGCCCAGGAGCGTACGATACAGTATACAAGGGACAACGTAGAAGTTCCT